CGCCCGGGGGGGGGGGGGGGGGCGTTAGGGGTGCCGCAGACTTGTATTCAAGAAACAAAAATCCCACCTCGCCTTGCCTGATGCCCTGCCCCCAAATCCCAATTACTTGCATTCCACTCTTACTCCTCCAAACATCCCCTTCTTTCCTGGCGCCAAGAAAGACAAAAGACTCCAGGCAGATCCCTAAGGGAGGGCTGGGTGAGAATGGGCTCTTCCTTGACTTAGGAAGCAGCTGTTGTTGTCTCAGGAAGTGAAACAGGCCAAAAGTGGCTAAGGGGAGTGAGGGAAAAGTCATGGGGTGGACTGCCACCATAGGCCACCTTCGGGGCTCAGCCTTCGGGCTGTATGTTGTGGGGAGTGGCTCATAGGAGGGTGCCGGGGTTCAGGAAACCAGCATGGGGGGGATGTCTCCTCACTGCTGCCTCCTGTCCTTCCACTCTGAGAAGGACCACTCAGGGCTTCCAACCTGGGGCACCTGAGCGCCCCCTGAAGAGGTAGGAAGAGACAAGAAAGAGCCCAGGCAGTTTGAGCAGAAGGACACTGAGTAGCAGATACTTGAGGTGAAAGGATTAGAAGAGGGGACCTCGAAAGTCAGAGGCTGCAACCACCAGAACACAGGCAGCCAAAGACACATGCTTTTCTTGGTATGCTTCCCATTTGACCTTTGCAGTCTTCAGCAGAGGCTGGGTGATGAATAGGAGTGGTTGGGGATTTTCTTTGCACACATTCACATCAAAGGAGGAAGGAGACACTTGTCCTGTGAGAGCCAAAGGAACTGGACATGGTGGTGGCACACACCCGACAACCAGCACTCAGGAGGCTGAGGAAGGAGGATGCTGTTAAAGGCAAGCCTGGGGTACACATGGCCGACAGTGGTGATAGCAAGCTATGGGGGCTTCATCCTTGTTGTTTCTATCAAGGCAGGCAGTATTATTTCTTCCATTTTGTAGACATGGCAACAGAGACCCAGAGAGGATAATTCTATGCCCACAGTAACCTAGCCTGAGAAAAACAGAACTAGACAAAGCTATTCGAGGCTGGCTGCAGAGTCCTGTGTCTTCCATCCTTCCACACTGAAAGCAAGGGTTGGAGAAATCCAGCCATATGTACTGCCCAAGGCTGGTCCCTCAGACTCCAGAGAAAGAACCACCTTCCATCCCTAAGCATGGGATAGCCACAATGAGTCTTCGAGGGCCATGAAAAATAACAGACAGCCTGTTTGTTCTCTCCGGTGACAAAGAAATAACATGATTAAAACAAACCATTCCAGAAGTTCCTGTTCACCAGGCAGTAAGATTCTGTCTGGATACTCTTAATTCAGCTCACTTGGGTGGGTGCTTGCCTAGCATGTGTGAAGCAAGCCAGCATAAACTGGGTATGGTGATGCACACCTGTGATGCCAGCCCTCAACAAGGTAGCAACATGAGGATCAGAAGTAAGTTCAAAGTCATCCTTAGCTACATAAGGAATTCAAAGTCAGCCTAGGAAGCATGAGACCCTGTCTCAGAAAACAAAGCCAGGCGTGGTGACACATGCCTTTATTCCCAGTATCCAGGAGGCCCAGGGATCTCTGTGAGTTCAAGGCCAGCCTAGTCTACATAGCAAGTTCTGAATCATTCATGGTTACATAGCGAGGCCCTGTCTTTATCTGGATTTTATGACCCTGAGAAAAAAACATGTATTCTCACTATAGCTGTGGAAACTGAGCTCCTGAGAGCTTCTAGCTTGCCAAGGTAACACCCTGGTGTAGGAAGTCATATGGCCCCAGAACTGTGTCCTTCCTCTCTTGCTCCTCCGGGCTTAACTCCAGGCTCTCTATGCTGCTAAAAATAGGCTGTTCTGAGTTCTGACCAAATCTCCCTTACAGCCGCCAGGGAACAGCTGGGCGCCTGAAGACGCCATGATCAACCTTGCAGCACCTCCTGAGTATCTTGGTAACCCCAAGCCCTCTGCTGTGCCCTCCACCGAGACCCAGCAACTCGGCCAGGTATGACATGGGCTCTGGAACCCATGCTATCTGACACCACTGAGATAATGGGGACAAGGCTTCAGGGGGGGGGGGGGGGG